GTGGGTGGCTTCGAACCACCAGCCTTTCAGTCAGCAGTTGAGAACTTCATCCTTTGTGCCACCTAGGACATCTCCTGAGATAGGTTTTATTTCTGGGAGTGTGGTCCCTGAACCAGCAGCACCAGTTTTCTGGGAAACCTGTTAGAAATGCAAGCGTTCAGGTCTCCACTTCAGGGCTGGAGGGTGTGGGGTTGTGGCTCACTATCTTTGTTTCCACGAGTTCTCCTGGGCATCTGTGTGCACACTCAGTGGGAACCACTTTAGAGGTTTTGCAGCCAAATTGTGGTTCAGGGTTCCCAGGGGACCTGTGGGGCTGTAGACTCAGTCACTCAGGATGCTTAGTGCCTTCAACTCACGGTCACAGCTCACTTGGAACCTCCAAGGCTTATTGCAGACTTTTTGTGGTATTTTTCTAAATTTCCACACTTTGTGGTAACGACACATTGTTTTGACAGCGGCTCATCCACTTTAGCCCACACGTCCCCACGGGGCTCCCATTCCTCCCTTAGATTGCCTTTTAATCGCAGATGGACAGGGTTGCTCGATGGCATGGCCACACCACAACTAAGACCCACGGTCAAGTATCTTAGTCCAAGGACGGCTGCCTCCTCCCGCAGATTTCCAGAGGAAGCCCAAAGAGGAAATCTCTCTTCTCTAAGGATCAACCCAAGCCAACCAGCTGCTGACAAGTTAGTTCTCACTCATGGTGTGACTCCATGTGTACGGAAGTAAAACTGTTCTGTAAATTTTCCAATAGATGCTTTGGAAGCCTTTCTTCTGAAGTGCTTTTGTTGGACTTAGACTTCCAATTTATTTATTTTTTTTAAAAGCTTGTCAACATTTGCCTTATCAGGGACTTCTTCCTTCTAAGAATGCTTTCATTAACTTCTTCCACTATAGCAGGATCTAAGCCTCTTCTCCCCAGCAAGTAGAGCGCCATGGCCTGTTATCCAGCAGTAACTTTCAGATAGTTTTTGAGGGGTGGGGATGGTGGGGCTGCTTGAGAAGGGCCAGCCTGGGTCCTGGGACTGCCTGCAACTTATCTTGCTTCCTGGGACCTGCTTCATGGGACCCGCTTCTCCCCCCGGGCTTTGCATGAGATCGGCTCCTTTGTGAATATCAGAAAAGGGCGCTACCTCCAGGGCATCGTGGATCTCAACAGCCCTGCCTCCTCAGGTGATCTATAGGGAGTCACGCTGCCAACCCAAAGGAAATGATGCCTCTCTGGTGGTTTGATCCATAAGTGGCTCCTTCATTGCGGTTTATAGCCTCTGAAAACTCACTGGAAGATCACCTTTGAGTCTATACCGACTTAATAATGAGACTTTTTAAAAATGTTATTTTATATTGGTTTGCTTACAAAGTTCAATATATGTGTATTGTGTTTTACACTATTCTTCATTCATATTGTGTTTCAATTATTCCAGTATGTTATGTTTTATAAAATTAATCACCGCTGGACCTTGCCCAGGATTCAGGTGAAAAGACAGGGTAATGATGAGACTTTTTTGAGCCTCCTCTAAGCATGAGTCACTGGTTGGTGCTACTTGGCTGATAATTGAAGGGTTGAGTCCACTCAGTGCCTCAGAAGAAAGGCCTGGCAATCACTTCTGAAAATTTAGCCATTGAAAACTCTTGGTTCCTATGAGTTAGAGTCAGATCATCAGCAACTTATAACTGCTCCCCTGGGAGAATGCCTGTGTGCAACATGAACTGCACAATTGCAAATCAAGGGCCCTCTCTCTTCCTGGCCAGAGATAGGAGAGAGAGGTAGGAGCAGGAACAGGCCGAGGAGAGCCTATATGTGCAGCTCCCTCATGTTCCATTGTTCCCACATTCTGGGCCCCAGACTGTGCTTTTTATCTTGGTCCATAGAAGTTGTGCTGCAAACCCAAAAGCCATGCCTCGCTGGCGGTATGGCTCCATCAACACCTCCTTGGGAGAAAAAGGAGCAGTCTCCTCTGTGCAATTAACAGTCCCTGAGAACACACTCATCAGCTCAGCTAGGACTCAGTTCCAACTTAATGGTCATGAGAGGAGGAGGATGCTGATTACTCAGTGAGGTAGGTGTTAGTGATGCCTCCATGTCTGTTTTCCTGTTTGTAATTGATGACATGTTTTCAAACTCTCGGTACCTCTGTTTTCTCCTCAGTCTAATGGGTATGATAATCCTAGCTCATTTCTTGTTCTGAAAATCAGATGAGAACATAAAAAGTGCTCTGGGGAAAAGGTTTTTAAACACCTAACACATGAATGTTGCTTGTATATTGGTTTCCTCGATAGTTGCCCCAAGGTAGGCTCTGATGCCCCTGTTTTAAAAAGGAAACTTGCCTTTAATTCACCCAGCCCCCAAAGTTATTGTGAGTGGTGGTTGGGGGCTGGGGGCAGGTGCAGAAGGTCACACTGTCTTGCCAGGCTACCAGTTTGGTAGCTGCAGGTGGCCCGGGATGAAGTGTGGGTGCACATCGCTCAGGGACAGTCCCAGCCCTGGCAAGCTACATCCCCATTTTTATGACAAGGCTCACTGTTTCATTTTTGGCCTTCTCTGGCTTTCTCACAGCCGTGGTGACTGGGATCTATGGCAAGCATTTGGGATTCCATTTCTAATCTGTGTCAAACCCTCATTTAGCTGGAAAGTCTGGGATGGAGGTGGGGTAGCGGAAGTTGCCAAGCTGGAGGCAGAACACTAGAAATGCAAACAGGCATCCCAGCTTCCAGCCACTTGGCAGGAAGCTGCGTATCTCCTCCAGTCTTATCCTCGGTCCGTGCAGAGGAGAGCATGGGCTTCATTTACCGGCTCAGGTCCCTTTCCACCTTCTTGCCTAGCTGCCCAAGGCTTAATACAGTGGCCATGGTGATGAGGGAGAGGTTTGTATTTGTCTTTTTCCTGTGCCCCTTGTTGAACTATTTCTTCGGTAGATCCTAGTTCCATTTACTCAAATGCCTCCCAGGTTGAGACCTGAGTCCCCTCTCAACCAGATCAGCAGGTCTCCAAAACAGTAATCCTGATAAACAAACTTGTAACCCTTTACCACTTTTTATTATGTACTCTTCCAATGGGACAGATAAATTACATGGTATAATGCATGAGTGATCCCTCACTACCTGTGGCACCATGCATAAACTTCTCTGTTTGACTCGAAAGGCTTTTATAACTGGCTAACTAGAGATCAGTGAGATCTGGTGACCTAGTTCTGAGTTGCTCTACTGACCCAAAATCCATGCCTCTCAGGTGGTTCGAATCCACCAGCAACTCCATGGGAGAAAAATGGACAGTTTCCTTCTGTGTGATTTACAGCCTCAGAAACCCACTGGAGGATCAGCTCTGAGTCTGTTCTGAGTCAACAGCAATGAGTTTGGCTGTATTTTCTTGTTGTTCAATTTTATGTTTGCCTGTAATTCCTTTTAAAGTCTCGTCAGAGAAGCTCTGGTGGAACAGTGGTTAAGAGTTCACAGGCTAACCAAAAAGTTGGCAGTTCAAATCCACCCGGAAACTGCAGGATTGGAATGTGACAATCTGCTTCCATAAAGCTCTACAATGTTGGGAACCCGCCAGGCCAGCTCTGCTCTGTCCAGTAGGGCCACTATGAGTTGAAATATGACTTGATGATAAGGCGATGTGTAAGGTCCTATAAACTCCTCTATTTACCATTCAGTCTCTCTTGGACCTTTACTCATAATGCCCTTTTCTTATGTTCCAAGTGCTGTCTGTCAGTCAAGACCAGTTCCTATTCCATTTCCTTGATTCGAATGTACTTACATCCTTCTTCTCTGAATGTCTATTGCTGGAACCATATAGTTTCATATTGAAAAAGTTCATAGCTTCAAGTCAGAACTGACTCATAGTTGATCCTCCATTGGTTTTCTGAGGCTATAAATTGTACTGGCAATTACCCATCTTTCTCCGAAGGAATCACTCATGGCGGATTCAAACCAGCAGAGAGGGTTGACTTTTGGTTTATCAGCACAACTCTGTAGGAACTACAGCTTCATGTTGCTGTTATGTGCTGTTGAGTCGCCTGCGACTCATAGCCACCCTGTGTACAAGAACTCTAAACGCTACTCTATCCTGTGCCAACTTTGCCGTCTCCAACACTCTTATTCCTACCACTCCAATCACAGAATTGATCCATCTCATTGAGGGTCTTCCTCTCCTCCTCTGTCCCTCCACTCTCCCAAACATGATGTCCCTCTCCAAGGACCAGTCTCTCCTTGCAACATGCCCAAAGTATGTCAGACGAAGTTTCAGAATCCTTGACTCCAAGGAGCATTCAGGCTTCATTCTCTCAAAGATTTATAGAGTCAGTATTGTTTTGTATAGTTTTTTTGAGAACCAAGTTTTCAATTTATTTCATTTCTTGCCTTGAAATGATCTTCAGTGAGTATTTATTCTTTGACTTGAGATTTATGCTAGAGTCCTTGATACCCACACAGCCACACCCACTCCCTGTGTGGGTGGGTTTTCTCTCCCTGTCACCTTCATGGAGACCTATCCCTTCTCCAGTTTCTTGTTCTCTTCGACCTTCACCAGGCTGATTTGGTGTTTAGCATGAAGGGATTCGACTAACTTAACATACGTAGACTCGTACGCAATCACACAAAGATGGAATGTACACTTGTCTTTGTCTGGGTTTGGCAGCTTCTTGAATTCCATGTGCTTGGCTATAATGCATTAGGATAGTCTTCAGCTCTTTTTACAATACTTGTAAAACAGTATTAATGTTCATTACTCCTCCAGGAGCAACGGGGAAAGAGACCAATACTCAAGGTTTTCATTGACTGTAGATCTCAGGCCTTCCTATTCCGTCTTAGTCTGGAACCTTAGCAGAATGCTTTTTGACATGGTAGCAACAAGCAAGTCAGCATGTCACACAAACCAACAGATAAGGAATGGCTGTGCATGAGGTCCCTTGGTTGGGAATTGAACCCAGGCTTCCTGCATAGAAGTGAAAATGTCCCTTCGTACTTATCTAATGCCTTTGACTCTCCTCTTTCCCCAGGGAGCTCCTGTGAGAACAAACGGGCAGACCTGGTCTTCATCATTGACAGCTCCCGCAGTGTCAACACCTATGACTATGCAAAGGTCAAAGAGTTCATCATGGACATCCTGCAATTCTTGGACATTGGGCCTGACGTCACCCGGGTGGGCTTGCTCCAATATGGCAGCACTGTCAAGAATGAATTCTCCCTCAAGACCTTCAAGAGGAAATCGGAGGTAGAACGTGCTGTCAAAAGGATGAGGCATCTGTCCACGGGCACCATGACGGGGCTGGCCATTCAATATGCCCTGAACATTGCATTCTCGGAAGCAGAGGGAGCCCGGCCCCTGAAGGAGAATGTACCAAGGGTCATAATGATTGTGACAGACGGGAGGCCTCAGGACTCAGTGGCTGAGGTGGCGGCAAAGGCGCGGGACACAGGCATCCTGATATTTGCCATTGGCGTGGGCCAGGTGGACCTCAATACACTAAAGGCCATTGGGAGCGAGCCCCATGAAGACCACGTCTTCCTTGTGGCCAACTTCAGCCAGATTGAATCCCTGACCTCGGTGTTCCAGAAGAAGTTGTGCAGTAAGTACTGTTCCTTAGTGGGTCTCCTAGAGGAATCTTAGGACGCGTCACTCACTCATCCACAAGCATCTGTTCTTTATTAACTGTCTAGACCTGGAAAAGATGAAAATAAACATGGAATTTTCTTGGGGTTTACACTTTAGCCAAAGAGACATATATTAAATACACAGTTGTGTAGATAAGCAACTGGTACCGTGATCAGTGCAATAGCAGTAAGTGAATCATTGCTACTGTGATCGATGCAAGAAGCAGGCAGGGCCTGGTAGTGCCTTTGACCCGAGGACTTAATAATCTAGGCAAAGGTGCTTGGAGACATTTATTTGAGGAAGAGACACTGAAACCCAAGCAGCAGGATGGATGAGAGTGGAGTTGAAGTCTTTCAGCAGCATGGTGAACAGTCCTGGCATTCTCTAAATGAGAATTCCATGTGTTGGGACAGGGCCAAAAGAAAAGCATTTTTCCTTGGATGGGTGGATTACCAGGAAGCAGAGACATTGCCTGAGGGTTGTATTAATGTGTGAGTGTTTTCATAACTGACAGTGAGGCCTAGCGATTGGGAAGACCAATGTGTGGTCCTGATGTCTTTCCAACTGCAAATCAGTTAAGTTATAGGTGCCATCTCTCACTCCCCTTCTGCAAGAAGATGTGTCCCCAAGTCCTGGAGCCACACAGGGGTTTCTTTCCTCCTGTTCTACCCTATTACTGACAAAGCCTTTCTCCTCCTTTCAAGTACTCTTCTGAGCGATCTCCAACTGTAGCTCTTGTTCAAGCTGTTCTGCGCAAGTGACCTTGCTTTTCCTTACTTCCCACCTCCTTAGTTGCTTTTTACCTCTTCTTCTATTCCAGGAGCATATTTTCAAATATCCATGCCTGCATTTCCCCATGTATCTAATGAGTATAACAATCTTGGCAGGAACCCAGGGTACCAACCCAGACTCCACTCCATTACTGTTGGTTCCTAACTCACCATGACTCCATCCATGCACATGGAGCAAAACACTACCCAGTCCCCTGCCTTTGTCACCATCTGTTGGGAATTGGACCACAGTGATTCATAAGGTTGTCATTGGCTGGCTGATTATCGGAAGTAGATCAGACCTTTCTTCTTAGTCTTTCGTAGTTTTGAAGCTCTGTTGAGAATAGTTCAACATCAGAGCTTCATCCAATCCTTCATATGGTTGGTGGGTGCACATGAGGTAGTTTGATGGGGAATCAAACCCAGGTCTTCCTTATGGAACGTGGGAATTCTGCGGAACCACCAGTGCCTCAAGTTGCACTCTGTTCTCTGGAAACTAGAAACATGCACCCTGACCTTGTAAGTAGTGCCCAATCCTGCTTTCCACGGCTCCCTAGGGGTCCTCATCTGCTCTAGCTGCCATGCTTTGATTGGGGAAACATTAGGAAATACTAATTTTTAATTGATGACACAACCTTGCTTGCTGAAACTGAGGAAGACCTGCAGCATTTGTTGCAGAAGGTCAAGGACTGTAGTCTTTGATATGGATTGAAGCTCAATATCAAGAAAACAAACATGCTCACCATTGGGCCAATTGGCAGCACCATGATAGATCGAGAAGAGATTGAGATCAACGCTCTTGGCACCAGCAGTCAGGAAATCAAAATATGAATTGCATTAGGAAAATCTTTTGTTAAGGACTATGCCAGAGTGCTGAAGAGCAACAGTGTCAGTCTAGAGACCAAGGTGTGCCTGATACAGGTCTTGATCCAGCAATCACTTGCTGTGCATCAGAGAGCTGGACAGTGAGTAAGGATGACAGAATTGATGCCTTTGAGTTGTGGTTCTGGAGAAGTGTATTGAACATACTGCGGATGGCCAAGAGAACAAACAGGGCTATCCCAGACAGAGTTGCTTTTGGGAGGCAAGGATTTTGCATGTCCATCTCACATATTTTGGGCATGTTGTGAGGAGGGACCAGTCCTTTAAGAAAGACATCATGCTTGGAAGGGTGGAGTGTCAGCACAGGAGAGGAAAACCCCAGATGAGATGGACTGACACAGGAACTGGGGTAAGGGAGGTACGTGTGTCTGAGACAGTGAAACTGGCTCAGGATAGGACAGGGTTCAGAGCTATTCACAGGGTTACTATGAGTCATAGTCGACTGAATAGCACAAAACAATCATTTTCCTGCAGTTGAGAATAAGCATACAAATTAGACTTCTCACCAACTCCCCAGGAATGGCAACCTACCGCTTGGAGAGCTCTGAGCACATGTTTTCAGAATGTCACTGACCCTGGGCTCCAGCTAGAAGCCCCAGGGAGGCCAGAGAACAGTGTGCTTTTGATCTGTCTTAGAAAAATCCACATCTGAGAACTGAGGGCAGCCTCAAAAAAGCAGAGAGCCCATTCTCTCTTGAATGCAAAATGAAAAAAAATCTACTTAAGAAAAAAAATCAGTGCCATGAAGGAAAAATAACATTTTTTTCTGCAATGTCACTTGGAATATGTTCAGAAGTGCCATTTTCTGTGGCACTGCAGAGGGGCTGTTATTGTGGGGCAACATGGCTAAGTCAACTGGAAAACTTCAATCAGGAGAACACACTGAAAACATTTCTAAGGTTTATGACTTTAAATGACTTCTGCAGAATTTATGGTCTCCCTTTCTCGGAATTTTTTTTTTTTTAAAGGAGAGATTTATTCTGTAACCATTTTGATGGTTTATTCATTTGTGTTAGAAATGCTAATGCGGAACATTTTCTATAAGCATTCTGAAATTTTCAGCAGGTGGAGAGATCCTATAATAAGGATGAAGATAAGTACCCTATGATAAGAGAGATATAGTATATGTTGGGCTGCTAGCCAAAAAGTCAGTGGTTCAAATCCACCAGCTTCTGTGTAAGAGAGAGATGGACAGTTGCCTCTCATAAAGATGTACAACCTCAGAAATCTAACGAGGGTTGAGGTAATTTGGAATTGACTTAATGGCAATGAAGGCTGCATAGTCCCTGGTTAGTATACATAGTTAATGTGAGTAGTTGACAGTATACTTCTAAAACTATTAACCATTGAAAACCCCATGGAGCACAGTTCTGACATTTTCAGGGTTGCCATGACTTGGAATCAACTAGACTGACAACCAGTGGTGGAGGTGGTGATAGTTATAATGGGCTTATAGTACATGACTGACCTACCCATGTTATTAAATGTGGACTTACTCACCTTATCAATGTGCTTTAAGCCAATAAAGTAAAATGAAAATACAGCTTCTCACTCACGCCATCATTTCTATTGTGATTTGATACTGTGGTATTATGCCTTTCATTCGTGTAGCCTGAAACATGAATCTGACTGAATCCCTCCCAACGTGCCCTGCAGGAAGTGCAGCTGCTCTCCCCCATATCATCCAGAGTCTGCTGAGTAGACTCATCAATGTCTTGAAAGGCTGGGGAGATTCCAGTCTCTTTATCAACTGTACAAGCACAGTAAAGGCCCCGGTAACAGTTATAAAGCACTTCCTCTTACGCTTTCACATTATCTTTACTGAAAGCTGAAGAGAATTGACTGCACAATGTGATCACTCTTTTTTTATGGATTAGTAAGTTTTTTCTGCTGTCAAGGATCTCTCCAGAGCATTAAAGAGCAATGCTGTCATTTTAAAGACTAAGGTGGACTTTGTCCAAGCTATGGAATTTTCAGTTGCTTCCTATTCATCTGAAAATTGGGCAGGAAATAAGAATGGCAGAAGAAGAGTTGATGCCTTTGAAGTGTGCTTTGGTTGAAGAGTACTGAATTCCAAAAGAAGAAACAAATTTGTCTTGGCGAAAGTGCAACAAGGGTGCTCCCTAGAGGCAAGGATGATGCAACTTTGCCTCATATACTTTAAGCATGTTGTCAGAGGGGCCAGTCCTTGGGAGAAAAACATCCTGGTAGGACAGGTGGAAAGTCTGAGAAAGAAAAGAAGATTCTTAACAAGATGGATTGATACAGTGACTGTAACAGTGGGCCAGGTGGGTTGGAGATTGTGAGGATGGCACAGGATAAGGCAAGGTTCAGATCTCTTGTTTACAGGGGGTGTGGTGGTGTTGTTGTTGTTGTTGGATACCATTGAGTCAAATACGATTCATAGTCAGCCTGTGAGCAGCAGACGTGAACCTTGTCCTATCTGGTGCCTAGGTGTCATAATTGTTTTGGCTTCATATAACAATAACACAATAACCCCAAAACAATAGCAAGATGATGATGTTCTGATTCCAAATCCAGCCATCATTCACTTCAGTCTTCCACAGGTCTCTCATAACTCATTGCTGTCAAGTCAGAACTGACCTGAAGCTGCACCTCTGTTGTGTTTCTGAGGCTGTAAATTGCTCCAGAGAAGACTGCCCATCTTTTTCCTGAGGTGCTTCTAGTGGATTCAAACCCCCAGAAAGGCCCAGTTAGTTTAACAGTGCAGCTCCCCACAGACTGAACCACTAGAACTATCTTCTGCCCCATGTTCTCAGTTCCCCTGTAAGGCAAACCATTGCCTGATGAGAACCTGTTAGATAAATTTGCCTAAGGTTGGCAGTCACCTGAAATAGCTAGATGCAAAAGGAAGCTTTATAGAATGAAGAGAGACTCAACACTATTCCCTTCTCATCCCAGCTGTGTGCCTGAACAAAACTTTGTGGTACCTGGGCCTACAGGCACAGAGGAGGTGTATGAACAAGCATTATAAACTGTAAAGTCCAAGTCAGTGTGGATGGTTGAGGTGTATGACTATAGTAAATTTCACTGAGGACCAGTAGTTTGAATTTGAATGAAATCTGTAGACCAGTGAGCATCTTCAAAGCTGTAGCTGGCAACTCTGTGGATTAAAACTGCTAGTCCTAAAATGGTGTGGAAACCTCATTTATTTATTATGGTCTCATCTGTTATTAAGCAAAGTATTACAACAGAATGTACAAAGAGCTGGAGTTGACGAATAACAAGGAAATAATTCACTCAACATTTCTCAAGCTGAAAGAACTAAAAAACAAATTCATGTCTTGACCTGCAATTCTGA